TAACCAGTGGAACAGTTTGCTTTCATATGTTATAGGTGGTTTTTAAGTAGAGACTGGACAGTCACTTGTCTGAAATGGTATAGGATCTCCTGCTTGAACAGGGGGCCTATACTGGAAGACCTCCAAGGTCCCTTCCAGTGCTATTCTGATTCTGACTTCTGAGCAACATGAAGATAAGATCAAGTCTGAACTTCAGAATGGTGGACTTATGTAGTGATTGAGATGTTGGGCTAGAACTGGGGAGACTGATGGAACCCCAGTACTCTCAGCCAGGAGGCTGACTGAAGGACTTTGGGCCGGTCACTGTTGCTCAGACCAGCCTAACTCACAGGGTTGTAGTGAGAAAATCAGAGGAAAGAATGTGTAATGGTATGTGAAGATGACTTTGGGAGATTGGGCAAAGAGATGCAGCTAAGGAAACAATCAGAGAAGACGCAGTTTTACCTCACAGCAGGAATGTGGGTGGGGTCGTAGGCTGAGAAGGGATGCTTCCTGGTTTTTTGGGCTATAAAAGGGACAAGGGCCAGAGATATATTTTCAGACATGCAAGATTTTGTTAGTGTAACTGTACGATAAAATAGAATTAGTTCATCTTGCCCATGTTTGCTGTCTCATCTATGTCGCAAGGCTGAAAGTATCTCTCTCTCTCTCCTGCCCCCCTTCCATCTCATTTTATAGCCCAATAAATTAAAATGTGACTGCATTTTGGACACTATACAATTGGCCATTTGCAGCACTCCCTGGTCACGAGACCATGACTTATGATGTTTTTGCCAGAAACCCGTGTTTACTTCCAGTTTATTGCCAAAACTGTCCCATTTGTTCTTCTTCCGTGTCTAGATCAAACTTGAAACTGCCAGAATGAAGCCACCTTCTTGGCTTTGTTGTTGGCCAAAAATAATTATCAGTACATGTTTCTGGTGGTAGCCAACATAACAGCAGATGGGCTGGACTCAGTGTCTCTCCACATTCACATAGAGCAGTGGTGGCGAACCTATGGCACGGTTGCCAGAGGCGGCACTTGGAGCCCTCTCTGTGGGCACACGTGCCGTTGCCCCAGGCTTGCCTCCGCCCGCTACCCCCTCCTCTCCAGCAACCCCCTGGAGGAGAATCGCCCCTGAGCATGGTCCACTCAGAGCAGCTCAGCCAAGGACATGGCAGCCAGGCAGCGTAGACAAGACTCTGCCCGCACGCTCCAATGCACACAATTGATGCTGCGGGACGCAGGCAGAAGGCATGGCTGCCATGGCGCTGCTGGGCTGCCTGGATGATCTGCAGCGGGCGCTGGAGGCGGTGAGTGGCACTGCGGGCAGGCAGGGAGGAGCAGAGTGGGGGCAGCACAGGGGGTGGAGTGGGGTGGGGCAGGGGCAGGGGCAGTTTTGGGGCACTTGGTCTCTAAAAGGTTCGCCATCACTGACATAGAGTGTTGCTCTCCGCTAAGAGCCTCCACTTGAGCATATTGGTTTTACATTTAGGCCCTCTAATTCTTAACCTATTCAGGGTCCTCTAAGTAGTATAAGGGAGATCAGATCCTTCAGCTGTATCCTGCTTTAATTGTAATTCCTTGCACGATTTCAAACCAACCCATAGCAAATAATGAGTTCACCAAACAACCATGGTGTTCGCTTTACAACTTAATGACCATTGCAAAAAAGATGATAGAGTTAAGTTCAGTATAGTGACCCACTTTACGATTGTCATAACGTACGACCAAAATTGTGGGCACAATGACAGTCATAAGTTGAAGATTACTTGTATTCAGGAGAAAGGACCACAGTAGCCTTTAAGGTTTAAGATCAATTTATTTTAATTGATTAAACACAAAAACAGTATTAAAAATCCGAGAAATTTTTTGTTTTTTTTAATACTCCACCCACAGGTGCTGTTCCTTTTCTTCCTGTTTCGATAACTCTGCTCTTTCCTTCATATTTCAACCTTCCAATTGAAGATCCAAATATGTGCCCTCTAGTGGGGAAAAACTGCAGTAGTCTTAGAATTGTCGAAACATGTGCTTTAATTTAAATCACATTCCAGTATAGAATAAGCAATGTTTAAATTTACTGAATTCATTCAGATTAGTGGATCAAACGGGCCCATGATTATCCTGTAATATTTGTAAATCAGACTGATGATACTCGTTTCGCTTTTTTAAAAGACTTTTGAAAACGGATACCTTAATGTCAAACAGACGTTTCAAAAATGCTCTTGTTAAATCTAATACTGCTGTCTGCTGATGAAATGAAAGCTGTTTGCAGGCTAAAAAGTATGTTGCTTGCAGCATTATTTTCATTTCCAAAAATCCCCCTGGGTTTCACATATGCTCCAGAGCCACCCATAGAAAATTAAAATTGGGGGTGGTTGGGAGTGTGGGTACACCCACCTGGCAGAAAACAAACAAACAGAAGTGGTAGAAAATATTTTACTTCTGGATTAATGCAAGCGCCATAGATTAATCTATGGCGCTGCTTTTGGAAATCACTCAGATGCTACAGCTGGTCAGACTGCCATACTGCTAATAGTTATGGGAGAACCTCAATACATCCATATAATGCCAGTATTTGGTGAGTACACGGTTACTAGTTGGCTTCTGGATGCAATTCAAAATTACATTAAAGTAATTTTTAAAGTCCTTCGTGGATCAAAGCCTTGTTACTTGCTGAATGACCTGTCTTCAATTATTTTGGACCATTCAGTAAGATCTGGCAGGCATGGTGTGCTCCAGATCCTATCTCTTTAGCCAAGGGCTCTCCAGACTTGGCATCTTTAAGACTTGTGGACGTTAACTCTCAAAAGTCTGAGAGTTGGCTGGGAAATTCTGGGAGTTGAAGTCCATAAGTCTTAAAGCTGCCAAGTTTGGAAATCTCTGGTTTACGTTATGATATCTTACGGGACCCAGGAAGCATGCTTTGTCTGATGCTGCACCTGCCCTTAGGAATAATATTCCTCTCATGATTCAGACAGTACTAGTCCTGCCTTGCGGACCTGTTCCTTCCCAGGCTGTGAGTCAGGAGGATTAGTAAACCCATCTGGATTGAGTATTTCAATTGCTGAATGCCTCCAGCATAATTTGTTTCATGCTTTATTCCATTTCATTATCGCTTGTCTATTTCTGTAGCTGGGATAATTGTATGCCGTCCTGAGCCATTTATCAAGAGAGTGGCTATACAAGAGATAGGATCTGGAGAAAACCAAGCCTGCCAGATCTTACTAAATGGGCAGCAGTAATTGGAGATAGGTCATAAAATTTTATTGACTGCCAATATAATTAGAAATGGCGAATCTCTAATCTAGCCTAGATGGGATGACCAAGAGCAGGTTGTAGTGTAGTCATTAAAGGCACCCGAACCTGAAGATTTACAGTGGAGTCCTACGCCCATGTTGGACTGGAAGCTATCTGAATGAGTAGGCCATTCCTCTCTCTTAGCCCCAGGAAGAAGGGTAGAACAGGTGACTTCTGAAGATATAGGTTAGTGTTTCTCAACCTTGGCAACTTTACGATGTGTGGACTTAAACTCCCAAAATTCTCCAGCCAGCAACGCTAGCTGGAGAATTCTGGGAGTTGAAGTCCACACATCGTAAAGTTGCCAAGGTTGAGAAACACTGATATAGGTGAACCTGCCCCTGAAACTATGAATTGGTTTTATCTAAATAGCTGTGGGTACATATCCAAGTAGGATTTCATCATGGCTAATAACTCCAGGTTAGATCCCAAGGGACAATAATACTGAAAGAATTGGAGCTGAGTTTCAAGAAAAATTGTGCCCCTCCACACACACACCTCTTGCTTATCCACACTTGTTTTTGTATGTGTGTCATGACATTGCACACATCATGCTCAATTCATCATTCTGACCAAACTTTCAGATTGTGATCTGAAAGGGTTCTGAAGGAAAGTGGATTCAACACACACACAAAAAAAAAAGTGAGGGGCCACAAGAAGTCTGTTGAAGAAAATTAATCAGGACTGGAATGCAAAATCATCATATAAAGGAAGAGAGAATGGGTCCAGAGGAAGAAAACTGAGAAAGTCATGATTGAATGAAATTAAAAGTCATGAATGGATGAAATGATCATGACTGAATGAAATTGATTCTCCTGAGAATGAAGGAGCCAGGCAGTTTAATGGATCAAAGACAGTGTAGGAAGCCTTATCTGGATGTGACGGAAGCAAGGATTTGCAAGAATAAAAGGTTTTGAGTGGCTTATTGAATGGTGTGAACTACATTTCATCACATTTCTTTTTTCCTGTCTCATTTGTATATATGTATTTTATTTATTCATTTTTTGTCAAATTTATAGACCCCCTCCCATCTCATAAACAGGTGGACAGCATACACCAAAACTAAATCAAACAACACCATGTTTCCCCAAAAATAAGACCGGGTTTTGTTTTGTTTTTTGCCTCCAAAAGAGGCACCAGGTCTTATTTTGGGGGGATGCCTTTTATACTCACCTCCGGCATCGACAGCCCCGTCCAGCCAGTCCACTTCTTGAGCCAAAGGAGCAGCTGCATTCTGCAGTTGCATTCCAGCCTGCATTTTGCAGTCAGGTCTTTCCAGAACGCCTCTGGTCCTGGATTCAATCCATAGCTTGGTCCTCGGCTGCAGAGGTTTTGCAGAACAGAGCTATGGATTGGATCCATAGCTTGGTTCTTGGCTGCACAGGCCTTCCAGAAAGGCCTGTGACTGAGAAATGCAAGCCTGGCTACAAAAGACATGGGTGGGCGAGGAGACACCTGGCTGCAAGGTAAGTGTGTGCCTCACCCCAAAACTAGGGTTTATTTTTGGGGTAAAGCTCATATTAGGCCCACCCCCCAAAATCGAGCTAGGGCTTATTTTCAGAGTAGGCCTTACTTTCAGAGAAACCACGGTACATACAAAATAAGTGTTATTATCGTTATTAAAAGCTTTATGATTATAAAATAACATAAAACTAAAAGAAAAAAAACTATTGGGTAGAGAGCAGATGGTAATAACAGTGGAGACACCTCAATATTTCAGCAGGCCCTTGGGGTCCCCAGGCCTAATGGCACAACCAGGCCTTGATGAACTTCCAGAGAGACAAAATGGATGAAGCCGGCCTCGTTTCAAGACACCATAATGTGGGCACCAGAACTGAAGAGGCCCCGCTGCCTAGGGCCCGCCAAGTGTCACTCCCTAGTCGATGGGACCTGCAGCATGCCCTTTGCTGGGTTTGGTGAGATGGGCAGATATAATTGGGGAGAGGAAGTCCCTCAAGTAACTCAGTCCCATGCCACGTAGGGCTTTAAAGATCAAAATTAGCACCTTGAATTGGCCTTGGAAACAGACTGGCATCCAATGTCGCTAGCGAAGTGGGTGGAGGTATAATGTGTTCTTCAAGAAACACATATAACTGCCTGCGCTGCTTATATTCTGTACCAGATGAAGCTTCTGGATCCTCTTCTTCGTATCTTCAAATCTTTTGACTTGCGATTTCTTAACTCTTTTGTGTGCACGTCCCATTACATGGCAATAAGAATGCAGTAAGTGTGTTGTTTGCATAAATGCAATTTAGCCAATTTGCACGCCAAGAAAGGGTGGGACTCCAACATCGGAGACCGTGCTAGGCCTCCTTATTGAACTGCCTACAGTAGGTCTGCTCATAAAGCACCTGGAATAATAGAACATGTTTGTAGATTGCCCACCCTGCATATTAATATTAAGCTGCTGGAAAAACCAACTTTCCAGCTTGCTATAACTTCCAGCTAAGCATTTGCTTTTTCTCATTCATAGGCATTTCATTCAACTTTCTAGTCCTATCTTTTGACTCTCGTGAGAGCACATGGTTACTAATCCTGCGATCACATAAGGTCTTCGGAAGTAGGATAGTCACACGTTTGGACTCCAAAATCACGGTCAAGATGGAAGAAGAGATCATTTCTGGCTTATTTGGAGAAGTTTCATGAGCCAAAGTCCCACTTGGCGGATTTTTCTAAAAAAAAATAATGAGGTCCTTGTATATAAGTTTGCCCTGTAGTGTGTTGCTTTCTCCGTTTCTTGATGACTTTTTGTATACTTAACATTGCAGAATTTTTTTTGTTTGCTACCTTTTTTGTTAAGCACAATAGATCACTGCTGTCTGAAAGCAATGCTTCTTCCAATCCATTTCCTACAAATTGGTAAATTCCTGTCTGTATCCTTGTGATGATTTGAAACCTTTTGGCCTACTGCATTAATTTCTACCACTAAAAATGTACTAACTATAAGCTTGGTGGAGTGGATTGGAATAGAAGTCAGGAGAGCGGGAATTCTAGTTCTGCCCTAGGCACAAAACCAACTGGGTGACTTAGGGCCAGTCACGATGTCTCTCTCTCAATCTAAGAAGAAGATACTGACAAGCTGCTTCTGACAATGTTGCCAAGAAAACTGCGGGGACTTGTTCCTACAATATCAGGAATCAGGGTGACTTGATGGATTATGGCAACAATTGTTTCGGTGGAAGTTGTATTCATCTCGTTTTGCACATTTGTTCTTCTCAAACCATTCATCTCATTCACATTTTTACACGTTTGCTTTTTCCACTCATTTTACACATTTTGCTGGTGGCCATTCTCTTTGCATGGAAACTAATCTTCGTCAGATTAGGAGAACAAATCCGTTAATGCACCCAGTCATTTACCATTTGCCAAACAGTTGGACCCAGAACGCTAGAGATGTCAAGTGCTATTGCTTGATGCAGGTGCTTTTCTACTAGTGGTAGTACAATCTGAAACACAAAAAGACTTTGCAACAGAGGGCTCAAGCTTTATACCTTAACTTGTTTTATGGGGTGTTTTTTTGTTGGCAAGTTTTCAGCTTGATTCTATGTCTGAGTGCACTTTTATTCTTCAGTCACTGCTGAGAAAAGAGGGAGAAATATTGAATTATGGCCTCTCTTTGATAAAACAATTTAAGTGACTTTTGCAGGGTTTGGAGAGAATTGTTCCATTTCCCTCCAATACACCCTGCTTAAACTTAATCCTAGAGATTTTAATTAAAGAGACTTTTCTAACAATTGTTTGTTTGTCGTAATTCAATGCAATTGTCGTAATTCAAGCAGAAACAGTGTTTCTGAAAAGATTTTCCTCTTGCCTGTTGTTTAAAAGCAGTAACTTGTACTTAGTCCAACTCATCTAGAAGACACCAGGATGCTAAGTCTTCTGTGTAACATGTGAATAATTCAGTTATTCAGCATTAACAACTTGAGAATTTGGGAAGAAACAAAACAACCCTGATAATGTAAGATAAATTTATCAGTGCTATTGTTTAAGTCAGTGTTTCCCAACCTTGGCAACTTTAAAGCCAGTGGACTTCAACTCCCAGAATTCCCCAGCCAGCCATGGGGAATTCTGGCTGGGGAATTCTGGGAGTTGAGGTCCAACCGCCTTAAAGTTGCCAAGGTTGGGAAACACTGGTTTAAGTCATTGTTCCTTTGAATTAGACATCTAGAACAGTGGTTCTCAACCTTTTTAATGCCACGACCCCCAACCGGTCGTACGTCAAGGACTACTCAACCAGTCGTAAGTCGAGGACTACTCAACTGGTACAGTACCGTTTGCAGAATGGGACATTTGGCGGGCTCAGCAGGGAAGAGACAGCCTGGACAATTCCTATTGGCTTTTGAAAGCCAATAGAATTAGACTCTATTGGCTTTCAAAAGCCAATAGAATAAAAGGGAATAGCACAGCTAAGGAAAAGGGGAAAAAAATGGCAGACTAAGTTGTTTGGCGACCCACAGGTTGAGAACCGCTGTGCTAGAATATATTTTCTTCTGAGCACTACATGTTAGAAAAGCCCTTGGCAAACTGAGGTCTAGGACAACTCGATGAAGCCAACTCATCGCAGCCGACTTGCCGCGGGACAATCGCCACAGCCAACTCGCCATGGGCTAAGAGTTACACATACCGAAGAGATGGTGGAATAGAATCATTAAAGAAAGGATGCAAAGGGAGAGAGTAGATGAAATATGAATGACAAAAATTAAAATATTTTTTAAAATTATTTTAAATAATTGAGTTGTCCCACAGCAAGTTGCCAGCGGTGAGTTGGCTGCAGCAAGTAGTTCCATTCCAGGCAAACTGATGCATATCTGGAGGAGAACATCTATGATACTAAAGAGCCTGGAAGCAAAGGATTATGAGAAATGGTTGGAAGTGTGGGAAAATTGCAGACATGGTAATTCTGTCTCAGAATAACTAAAGGTTTTGTAAAAGGTAGGGCAGAATTTTTCAAAATCTTCCCAGAAGTTTGGAGAAGGAATTGGCTATACTTCAGCAATTTCTGGAATGACACAGGTTTCTCACTCATAGACCAAATCGAACTACTATGCTATCTTGGGAATCGCTTTATGGTTTAGTGCAGTGGTTCTCAACCTGTGGGTCGGGACCCCATTTGGGGTCGAATGACCATTTCATGGGGGTCACCAAACCATGCTGTCCGCCATTTTTTCCTTTTCCCTAGCTGTCCTACTCCCTCTTATTGGTGGCCACACCCACTTGGGGGTCACCACAACATGGGGAACTGTATTATGGGGTCACGGCATTAGAAAGATTGAGAATCACTGGTTTAGTGGAAAAGTAGAGTGTGCTATTTTGGTTTCCAAGCCAGGAAAAATATCTGTTCAAATTGTTTTGAGCACCCTGTGGTGGGTTCAAAACTCTCTTGAAGTTATAACACGGCAATATAGAGAGATACGGAACCAAAATAAACAACCAGTTACACTTTTACAGCTTTAATTTAAAACTTTACCAATGACAAGAACCAAAAGAAAAAAGAAAAAAAGAATTCAGTTTACAAAAAGAGAAGTTGTCAATACAAAAAAATAGAGGTTACCTGTTTCACAACAGAATCTGCCCTTGACAGTATCAACTTAAAACTGGGAGTAAAGTGCTTCAGGTAAACAAAGTGATGCTGAAAAGTGGTAAGAGTGAATTACATTTAAGAAAGCAATATGGTGTGATAGTTGCAGGCCATTTTTTGAATGAAAACATTGTTCCTGAAAAACCAGCATATTGAGAAAAATGTAGACAGAGGCTGTCTCCTTAATAGATAGGATTTCCACATGCACAGATATGCTGATGTGGAGATGCAAAGAACCAAATCCAATTTTGAGGATAGGATTGTCTTCCCTCACCTATCTGAACTACTGCAAAGTGTCTGTAGACCACAACTCACTATTCAAGGCATTCCCACATACAATGTAACCTGGTTATTTATGTGTCCTTCCTGATTATCTGAAGTTATTCAGAGATAGACAAGCAAACCTAATCTCCATTTTCTTCTTATTTTATGTTAGTAAAGGGTGGAACACATTAGGTATTGATCTCTTGCATGTTCCTGCAAACAGGGGAGGTAAATTGTCATTAACAGTTCCCACAATTGGAAGAGCTAAATTCTCTTCATCAGAACACCTCTTTTGCAGTGAAAAATGCTGGGAAGATAACCATTTTTTTTTTCATTATTTATGTGAGTGCCATGCTCCCTAGAGAAAACCACCCATGGTTGCTTAATGACAGAATAGAAGCATGCCTCCATAGAAATCCAACAAAGGCCCAAGTGAAGGATCACTCAGTAATATCCAAGCAATACCCTTCTGAAGAACTATCATAATAACTATTTCCAACGACGGGAGAATTTCATCTGGAGATTTATTTATTTTTGTTCTTTCTCCTGAGTCAAGGAATTCATAATCAATTTAAAAAAGCAACATAACTAGGATAACTGTTCTAATCTCAATTCCTCTTTTTATTTTTAATCTAAAAAGATGACATGTACATTCCTATTGTCTCTATAAGGAAGCAATCTCTGGTCTTTTGTGTGTGTGTTCTAAAAACTGCAAAGAGGCAGCGATCATAAGAAATGTAGCTCAAAATGCAGCAATGGGTTTGTCTTGGATTTCACCTACCGTGTATTCTAGATCTTAACAGCTGACTTCTTGCTTTACAAATAGGCTAGCTTTGGCCAAAATAATGTTTGCAATATTTTTCTTCAGTTAACATGTAAAGCACAGCATTAAGCCATGACGGGAAAAAAAAGAACTATACAAGCCCATAACTGCTTTCTAATTTGCATAGCAACACCCCAAAAGTTAATTTAAAACCGTTGCTTGGTTCTTTGGCCGAAGAATCTGAGCAACCAATAGCTGAGGTATGCACACCATCCTGTCCTCTTTGTCATTTTGGGTAACAACTCATAGAAACACAAGATTATCCAATGACATTTAAAAAAACTTGGGTTCCTGTATTTTTTTAAAAAACAAGCAATTACAAGTAACATAATCTGGGACTTTTGTCCGCTTATTAGATATAAATAAAAACCAAGGCCTGATAGAATATTAAGAAATTGGTGCTAACTGAATGTCTACATCAGGGGTATAGTCAACCTTGGCTCTTTTATGACTCGTGGACTTCAACTCCCAGAATTCCTGAGCCAGCATGGCTGGCTCAGGAATTCTGGGAGTTGAAGTCCACGAGTCATAAAAGAGCCAAGGTTGACTACCCCTGGTCTACATACTACTGCACTATTGGAAACATCATCAAAGCTCTGCTTTCCTCAGAGACCATAAAGGGATTGCAAACTAAACAGCCAAATCACTCCATCATCACAGTTGATCAAACCAGTCACTGATTTGAAGGAGCGCCAGCAGCGCATGAAGAAATTGTGAGGGGGGAAAAACAAAGCATTCGTAATTATGAATGCAACACTTCCTATTTGGGGAAAACATCATTTCCTAGCAGAACTGAATGAATGTTCATTTATATCCCTATTTTAGAACCGTAGGCAGTTCGGTTCATGCAGAGGTGGGAAACCACAGCCCTTTTATGACTTGTGGACTTCAACTCCCAGAATTCTTCAGCCAGCCATGCTGGCTCAGGAATTCTGGGAGGTGAAGTCCACAAGTCATTAAAGGGCTACAGTTCCCCACCCCTGAGCTAATGTAATTAATGGATGAGGAGAAGACTAGGATTGCTATGATGTTTCTTGAATTTCCATAATGGGTCTTGTTGTCTAATAAACATTTAAGTCAAAGAAAGTCAAACTCTAGAGAAGGCCGATCATTTGAAGCAGTTTCCCAATCACTGCAATTACCAGCTGTGTGGATTACAACTACAGAATTCCATGGCCATTGAGGAGAATTCTGGAAGTCCACCCACCTGGAAATCACCACAGTTGGGAAACACCAATTTAAAAGACAGAAGTCTGACTCATCCTTATCACAGTACATCTGGCAACATTCTCCAACATCACTTGTCAACAGCTCCCCATTATGACACTGGCTTCTTACATGAAAGCTAATCACCATCTTCCATCAGCAATTCCTACATATTGTTTATGTGCTTGTGTTTCATTCAAAAATGAAAAATGCTGGAGGAAGTTAGTATGTTTTATTAAGCTCAGCTATCTGATTCCTATTGCTTTTAGCATTATACAAAGAGGTATTTCTACATTAATCATTCAAGAGATTTTTCTGCATTCAGTCTGTCCTCACACTCCTGTGCAAAAGGAGAAGCATTCCCCGTCCTTCATGCTAGGATACACACACCAAAGCCACCATTATACATTTGAGGCAACAGAGCACATTTTTTTTCTCATTTCCAATTAAATATGCATAGGATTAAACCCTATCAAAATCAGGATCAATAGGACTTGCTCCAAAGTCAGTGCACATAGAACTGGGCATTTAAAATGCACCACATTTACTATGCTGGGAGGACAGCGGCTGCAATAAGTTTGCAAATTAAAAACTAGCATTAGTCAGCCAAACCTTTTCTTCCTTTGCTTGGTGGTTCCAGGTAGAATCCATTACCAATCGAATTTGATTTAGCTAAATAGTACTTGTCACTCAAAAGTCCATTTAAAAAAAAATTTGCTTCCAAAATAAAGAGAAATGCAACTATAGATACCTGAAGTGTTTTCTTAGCGTTACTGTGGACTTGAACATTTTAATTAATTCAAACTGGAGGAAGAAAAGTCTCAGACAACTTTTTTGACCCCAAATTGGAGTCAGGAAGGTTTTTGTAGGTCTCTTACATGAAATGAGGCCTAGAAGACCAATTGACAAACATGAATTCCTTTGAGAGAGCAGTTATAGAAAGTACACTGTGTTGGACACCCTTAAAAAAAAATGTTTTTTTTTAATGGCAGCAGTGAATTAAACAAGTTAATGGTTTGGAATAAAATCTATCTTGTCTCTTCAGTTATGTTGTCTTCCACCAGGAACAAACAAGAATTCGTAATGGGTCAGAGCCAACAACACTAGAGCAAACCTGGTCCTTGAATACCCTCCACAGCAAGGAACATTCCCATGTGTTGTCGGAGATGTTCCTCACAGAAAAGAAGAAAAAAAAAATAAAGCAGAAAGTTTTTTTTTTTTCATTGTTCACCCAACCGGAAGCCCTGGCCCCAATTGTGTCTTGTGTCTCCCTGGCGATTATCTGCGGGTCTTCGCATACTGGCAGGAGGAACCCCAAATCCAGATACCCCTCCTCTTCTGTTGGGCAGCCAATTGTACCTGCAGGTTAAGAGAAGGAGGAATTCAAAAGACCACCCTAGCCAGTGGTGGGATTCAGACAGTTTGCACCACTTCGGTAGCTAATTTCTTGTTGCCCAGGCCCAGAATGGACTTCCGGAAGCAGCATCCACACAGAACCGGTTGTTCACATACCTGAATCCCACCACTGACCCTAGCCCTTACTCCACTGTAACAGCTGAACAAGACTTTAGCAGAGATTGAAGCTGAAGAAACAAGAAAAGCCAACTTAGGCTGGAGTTTCAGTACAAAGTAGCTGGAAAGCTTTGCCTTCTTTTTTTTTTCTTTTCTTTTTTTTAACCAGTTATCTCATCAAAAATTCTGAGAAATAGCGTAAAAGCTGGCTTCTGTGTGTTACTGAAAATCAAGCCACTGTTAAGAGGCCTTCCAGCTTAACATGAGAGTCAACCTGGAGGCCATTATTGCACAAAGTGCTTGCTGGAGCTTCTAAAGCCGGTAAAGATCCCAGAAAGAAGGGGAAGTATTTTGTAAATGGAGTTTACGGGGAGTCTTACAACCATTCGTTTCGTGACCATTCAAAATTACAACGGCACTAAAAAAAAAAAAAAATGACCTGACCCTTTTTCACACGTGTGACCGTTGCAACATCCCTGTAATCACGTGATCAAAATTGAGATGGTTGGTAACTGGTTCATATTTATGACAGTTACAGTGTCCCGGGGTCAAGTGATCCCTTTTTGCACCTTCTGACAAGCAAAGTCAATGGGGAAGCCAGATTCACTTAACAACCGTGTTACTAACTTAACAACTGCAGGATTCACTTAACAATTATGGCAAGAAAGTTTGTAAAATGGGGCAAAGCTCAACAACAGTCTCACTGAGCTATGGGCTCCATTGTGGTCATAAGTGGAGGATTACCTGTCAATAGGGTATGGCTAAATTTCAGCCTCCATCTCAGGATAGGGATATGTCTCACCCGTGGCTTTATATCCAACTCTCCCTGCTATTCCCTGCAGATCTCTGTTAATGCAAGTCTTGAGTTCTCTCTCAGCTTTCTCTTTTCTACTTGTTTTCCAACAGCTAGTGAAAAACAGATTTTACTCCCAGGAAACTTTCTTTAGCTGCTGAACAGGCCACGCATCCTCAGAGATGAAGGTTGCTTACGTTCTTAGCTCATTAAACTTAATTTTATTTTTAAAACTATCTCCAATTCTCGTCTCCTTTATTGATTCAAACTGGAAATGAGGGGATTTTGTTTGTCTGCTTAGCCTGTGAGAGTGTTCTTACCCAGGAGTCAGATGATTCTTGTGTGTCAAGGCTGAGATTATTAATTACCACAAAGCACATTGGTGTGATGCAGTTAGAGTGCAGTACTGCAGGCCACTTTAGCTGACTGTGTTCAGCAGGTCAGCGGTTCAAATCTCACCGGCTCAAGGTTGACTCAGCCTTCCATCCTTCCGGGGTAGGTAAAATGAGGACCCAGATTGTTGGGGGCAATGTAAATATATATATATATATACATTGCTTACTGGTGTACACCGCTTAGAGAGTGCTTGCACTTAAAGCGGTATATAAGTCTCATAAATAAATAAATAAATAAAATGATTAAGAAAAGCATCTAGTGTCTAGCCCTATGTCCCAGAGTCAGATGTACCAGCTCCTACTGGTCACAAGGACACCTGTAATTTTGCTACAAACTTATTCCTTGCTTTCTTTAATTTCTGTGACAGAGAACACAGAAGCCATAGTGCATCCCAAACGCTGCCCTTAGATATTCCAGGTGTCCAACAGCTTCATGGACAGGAAACCTCAACATCTGAGCTAAGCCTCATCTTTAGGGTCCTTTCTCTTGTGTTAGTAAGAAAGCCAGTTTGGTTTAGTGCAGGGGTAGGCAACCCTGGCTCTTTTATGACTCGTGGACTTCAACTCCCAGAATTCCTGAGCCAGCCATGCTGAGGGGAAAGGGAGAGGTGCTGGCTCAGGAATTCTGGGAGTTGAAGTCCACGAGTCGTAAAAGAGCCAAGGTTGCCTACCTCCGGTTCAGTGGCTAAAAGCCAGGAGATGGTGAGTTCTAGTCCTGCCTTATGCATGAAGGGTGGCTGAATGACTTTGAGCCAGATCACCAGGTGACTGTGAGTTTTAGTCCCACCTTAGACATTAAGGACAGCTGGGTGACTTTCGGCCGATCACTCGGCTACCCCACCTCACAGGATTGTCGTGGGGAAAATAGGACGAGGAAATAATATTAGGTACGTTGACTGCCTTATCTGTAAATGATAAAGATGGGATAAAAAATAAATAAATAAAAAGCAATCATTATAGCTCATCTGGAAGGAGAATGAAAGACAGACCCTCCGCAAGGATTCTTGTACATGCAGTGCTCCTTCAATTTTAAATTAGAAAAGCACCACTTAGTTGTAAACGTAATATAAACAGAGAGCACTTTTAAGCAGAAGTTAAAGAACAAAGAGGGCAAGGCAGACAAACTCTGGAGCCTGTTGCCATTAGAGCAACATTTCAGGAAAATAAAGGTGGAAATGTGCCAATTTTGCATTTGGGAGCTTGTAATAATTTTGACTGAATCAACGTTTCCTATTTGTCTATGCCAGAAACAAAACACAAATGAAATGCAGCACCTGACCTAATTACGTATCCATCCATCGAAAAAAAAATATGTGCCTGGGTCTCGTTACTGCCACTGTACTTTTGTTTTCAATTTTAATTAGACTAACGTCTCAACATTCCAAAGTATTCAAGTCTGATTTAAAAAAAGAAAAAAGATAAACCAACTTACAGAAACTGAGGCGTTGACAGAAAATTTCTTCCTCCCAAATCCACTGGATATTTAAACATTAAGAAAAAGTACAGATGACCAACCAGGTTGCCGATCAGTTCATTGATGATGCTGGAGGATATCAGGAAACAGCATTTTAAACAGTGTGAAAAATTAGCGATTGAAGCATTTTCCCCCTGATAAAGTGAAAGTATCTTAATCAACGGGGCCAATTTCTAATGGGTTTTGCACAGTTGAAGAGCTTGAGGGCTGCCAAGACTGAAAATAATCCAAACAAGCTATCCAAGAGTTGCATGCTGTCTGCAAACATTTTTGAAAAATACACTTTTGCAAACCTGTGGGGAAGACAGTGCTAATGGACTTAAACACTGAAATTTTTTTTTAAAAAAAGCAACTGCTGTAAAAATACAACCTAGGAATGATGAAAGTCACAATCTCCATCATCAACTGCATGTATTTGAGTTCTACCTTCAGAAGCCTTGAGACAGTACAATTCATAATTACGGAAGACTGTTACAAGTTCAATATATTCTAAGTATCAATGGTCACTTAAGTATTAATCCTTCTTCCGGCTATGTACACAGAAAGTAGAGTGCCACTGGAAAATTAATAATAACTGAAAGTTAAGATTACAGAAGAATGTTTAGTATTGGGCTATAACAGTGGTGGCGAACCTATGGCACGGGTGCCAGAGGCAGCACTCAGAGCCCTCTTTGTGGGCACACGTGCCATGCCCCAGAGATGGCAACCGCCCCTCTTCAACCAGCCACCCGAGGTCCCACGTAGCCAGATGCATCCCGGCACGGCTGGTTTCCCCCCCCCCCCCCCGTCCCATCCCTCCTGGCCTCACATGCTCTCCTTTTCCCGGGTACGAACTACTGCATCAGTTGTCGGCCAGCTGTCCAGCTCAGAGGTGGCTTCTCTGAACTGCTGGCGGTGGGCTGTGGAGCCCCAGAGTACGCCAGTCGAGGAGCTGTCAGGCTGTGGCTGCTGACGGACATCGACGGCCCCCATGCACTCACTGGCCTCTGTGTGCGGGGGCCAATGGTGTCAGGCAGCAGCTGCCCTGGCCCCTGCCTCACCTTGCCCCGTGGCAATGGTATCCCCGCCCTGCCTCGCCTTGCCTCACCCCGCAGGATGAGCCTCCTGTCCACCGCCCCACCTGCCAGAGACCCCCTGGATATCCCCCAACCCTGCCCACAGGCATCCCTCTCCATGAGCCACATCGAGGTGACCATGCCCACTTTGTCTACACCCACCCATGGCCACCACAGCCACGCCCACCCAGTGGGCCACGTCCCACCTGGCACCCAGCAATAAGTAAGTGGGTTTTGGGTTGCTTTTTGGGCACTCGGTCTCTAAAAGGCTCACCATCACTGGGCTATAATTTCAGAAGGAAGAAGGATGTTAAGTTGGCTTTCCTTGGGAGACTTCATTGTTGGAAGCTGATAGTCAAGACTCTTAGTAGAGTTACTCAATTTATCAATTCGCAACTTAGTAGCTTCAATATTTCCTATGCAGGGCAGTAATTAAGCAGGGCAACAACTGATGGGCTTCACGCCGCCTCCCAGCCGTTGTTTCAAACTTTAGAAGACCTCCAGAATGGAGCTCTCAAAATTAAGTAGCCAGTGCTATGCAAAATCTGAGTGCAGAGAGCCAATTCAATGGAGGCTTGTTTTGATCAACCTTTCAAGAGTGACTCTCGGATCAAGAGGGAGAGCAGATCTGGAGCAACAGAGTCAATTCGATGGTTTCCAATCTAGCTGGAGATTTCAGAATTGATTCCAGGGCTTTTCCATAGTTTCTGGGGTCACTACAGACAATGTGCCATGCTGCAACTTAAGTTTCGTACAGCTGGGAATATCCTGAATTGGCTGAACATTGGAATAGGCTCTTTGACTGACAGAAGCACTCAATCCAGTACCTGCTCCTTGCTTTTGTAGTCAGCATGGCTGGAACGGGTTGAAGACTCTTCATGTTACAATGAGTGATTGTGACGCAAGTTTACATTAACAATGGCTGATCTGAAGATTTGCCTTCTTTAAGAATGAAGAGGGCAAGGCTATAAATGCCACTCATTCCAAACCAGATTCTTGCTCCATAGATAATGGGTCTCGCTGGGACAATCTGCCTCTGCTAAGTCACTAACAAAGATATTATCAGGAAGTCCCAGGCTTGATACAACTGAATCTGAACAGCGTCAAGGGTGTCCTTCCCAAGAGACACCCAGCATTTATCACAGCTGGAGCCCAGGAAAACCAGCAGTCACAGGCAGTAAAGCACAAGCCTGTGGCACCCCAGAAAACACGTGAAAGGGTACATGTTTAGTTTACAAAAATCAGTTTTTAAAGTTTGCATTTTTAAGGACAGTTCAGACAAGTGCCTTCTCGAAGAAAGAGGGGTAAGGGAATATTTCAAGCAGGTGCGGCAGCAAAGCCCTTCAAGTCAAGTGGCTGAAATGGGTCCAGGTTCACATCTGCAAAAGGACCAATCCTCCCTACGGTCTTCGGACCATTTTACCTGAAACTGAAGCAGCGTCAGATATTTTGAAACTTCCCATAACAGCCTAAAGACAAACCTTTCATCAAACTGAACCTTGCATCCCAAATCAAATTACTGTCCAATCAAGATGGCAGTTTGGATTCAATCAAGCCTTCTTCAAACTGAATCAACACTGGTTTGCACAGATCTAGCAAACAGCCCATGTCCTGACTGTCTCTCCACATCCCGTCAGGTCTGACAGAAGAAGCATGCTCTGGGTCCTAATGGTTAAGGAGTGCTTTCTTTCTAGAGCAGAAAACATGCCTTTTCTGACACAGCACCTGCCTTTTGCAACCTCGCCCCCCCCCCCAAATTAGATTGGCCCCAATCCTGGCAACTTTCACAAAGCCTTGAGGCTTTGGATCTGTTCTTAAGCACAGAGACCAGACTGTTGATTGGAGCCCATGAGATTGCTGATTGTTTGCAAATTCTTCCTTGGTCACTATTACAGTACTGTGGCTTTGTTACCTGAATTTTTATTTTAAATGCTGTTATCTGCACAGAGTTAATGCAGCGATATCAGTGGGTATATAAATCAAACAAATTAATAAGGCACAGACCAACTAGCTGGAGATACTTACGAGCCTCCAATGATATAGTTGAACCCCAGGATAACCCATGGCAGATAGCATGCCTAGGAAAACAACAACACATATATGTTTATCATAACGAACCTGAAGGACAAACTTATTCTTTCACCTCATGTGCTAAGATCCTGAACTTGGTTGGGCCCTATTTCTAACAGCTGTTGAACTGCCACTGAAAAAATTTTGTTGGGATATTGGCTGGACGGTAAACTATCCTACTATCAAAACTGTGTTAGCATCAGTTTGCTACATTTCATTTGCTATGATTAACACCAAGCCATGCTTAGCATGTTGAGTAAACTTGCTTTTATGTGATTTTTTTCCCCAGACTACCATGTTTTCTCAGCTACTGAGTCAGGAGCTAGATTGATAAGCCTACAAAATACCAGGCTGGAAGGAAGAAATTCAAGAGTTAAACTAGGCATTTTCTGAACGTTTGATATGTGGAGCCCAAAACGTTCGCCATCACTACACTAAGTGGAGCAAAAGTACAGTGGAGTGGCCTGCAATGTTAATTTCTGGGTCTTCACAATGTTCCTTAGATGTTGCAAAGACGGACACTTTTAACATTTAAAATGCATGTACTATAGTTTCTTTACTTGCAGAATGCGGCAACATCTCCCTAAAGATTTTGTTCTAAAATTCGTTAACTATTACACATGGGACAAACTTTTGTTTTATGATATTTCCTTCCTACTTGTTGAGCTGTCCTACAGCTACTTCTGTAATTTTCCTTCCATTAAGGAACTGTATATGGAGCACTGCCAAGAAGAAAAAGATCACACAGATGTCAGATATATAAATGCCAAACTTCTCTCGAAAATCTGGAAGGAATCAAGGAATTGCTACCATGATTCAACCCGATGCTGAAATTCCACTGATTTGAGCCAAACCTCCCAAGGCAGAAGCCCATCTCTTAAGCCACTCACCTTAAACCGAGTCCCAAACCAAAATGACACAATCATGTCTCTGTTCAGCTGGGCCCAAACATAAAGTACTGACATGATCAGGGGGATCATCAGCAACTACAAGAGAACAAAGGATCCAACATGGTTTAAATCAGATAGAAAGACTCGCAAGCTGAACTAAAAATCTTACAAAGAAAATTCCTGTTCAATTTAGATACACCTCTGTCCTGTTCAATCTTTTTTTTTTTTTTCTTGAGGGGAAAAAAAAGGGGGGAATGAATTTGGAACAAGAACATTTTGGAGGAAAAAAGACATTTTGCAGATTTCTCCCATAATCCATGACCCTCTAAATCAGGGGTGTCAAACTCGCAACGTCACGTCACGTGTTGCAACGTATTGCGACTTTTTCCCTATTGGCAGAGCTGGGGTGGGCGCGGTTTTGGTATGATGCATCTGGCCCGTGGGCCGGCAGTTTGACACTCCTGTGCTCCAATAACCACATAAACCCACATAAAGCTGACAGCTCTATGGCAGGGGTGTCAAACTGTTGACCAGCAGGCCGGATACTTCACCAGAAAACCGCGCCTACCCCAGCAATGGGGGAAAAAAAGCTCTGATACATCATGCAATGTCACATGACGTCGCAAGTTTGACATGTCTGCTCTATGGAAATCAGCCAAACAGGATGCTAACAAAGTACATTCAAAAACTATTTCTAAGTAAAGGTAAATATACACGTCCCAGGATAATATTGCATGATCCACTCTGAGTCAGTCACCAGGACCAAAGTTTTTTTTTTCAAGCTTTTGGGCTCATGTTGGAGCCCATCCTTAGGGAACAGAGGGAGGGAGAGAGGGAAGGAGGGAGGGAGAGAGAGAGAGAAAAGTTCCCTATGGATGGGTTCCAGCATGAGCCCCAAAGCTTGGAAGAATAAATCTTTGATCCTGGTGAATGACTCAGATTGGATCCTGCAAAAACATTTCTTTCTTTTATCAATTAACTGCAATTTAACACTATATCTGAACCTTCAGTTGTGATTAATGTTAACTTTCATTTACTGAAAACACACGGATAAATCGAGATTGGAGATTGGCTTGTTTCAGTAACTAATAGTAAAACTATATGTCTGGGTTTAAACATAAGCTTCAACATTACTCATTACAAAATGGAAAAAGCTTCCAGCTGTCTCTTTGCAGCCATAGAGAGGAGAGGGCAAAGGACAGGAATCAGAGGCTATCGCTATGTTTCAAGTGGCCATGTTCTCCAATGGCTGTGTCTTAATGTCATTTGTAACTCTGGAAGGATGTGCACCAAAAGTCCTAATAAACCCGATCTGCCAGACTTTCAAAAAAAGGATAGACTTACTTGCATATTCATTGCTAAGCCAGTAATCTTTTAATTTTAATTAAGGAAATCCAAACTAAGCAAACACTGATACTTAATTCGTAATGATTCAATTGTAGACAAGTAGAATAATTCATGCTAGTTCTTGTTATCATATGGAAGCCCTTTTGATCCAGCTGAATATATTTGGATCTCTGCCCACCTGGCTTTAACTGAGCCTGTAAAATCTCTCTGTCATAAACAAGTTTGAGTCAAACAATATATTAACAGCAAGGTATAGCAGGGTTGGGTACTTTGAGATTCAGCGTTCAGAAACCCAGCATGTTGTGCAAAATAGACCATCATGTTAAGCCATAATAGGGTTCATTCATTTGGCACAACTGTAAGACTAATCATGCTTTGTTAACCCAGCTTTTGTGTGAACCCAGCCATTGAGTCTTAAGCAAATCTTAAGCTCTCATTCATTTATAGTGGCTGTTTCTGAATTAATCACCTTTCCCACCCAAACATGTGGACTCAGGATTATCAGAAAAGAAATGGAGAAGCTGGGGAATGACTTCCCTAAGTCCACGAAAGCATCCACAACCAATCTCTTCATCCCTTGGAAGAGGGGGGGGGGAATGCTTTTTCAAGACCCAAACTTGTCCAAACGGTGGGCAGCAGATTCAGGAAAGGATACAACTATGCATATCCAGTTAAACAGCAGCATGAACACGTAGTCGGCAGGCCTTCCATCAAAAGCACCTGCGAACAAAGAATGGCATTGCTGAGAATGTAATCCCTGGCAGTTGTTTTTTTCTCTCTTTCCCCAAGAGGCAGTGGGAGCCTCCAGAAGGCTGTCATTAAATCGCAGGATGCAACTTCAACTTTTGTTCTGAGAAGGAAACAAGAGACTGCTCGGTTTGGCGAGGGTGTTTTATGGGAAAGTGTATCGGAAAGGCCAGTTTTTGTAGGAAAATCTAAACTACTACCTCTATATAAGGAGAGTCTCTATACACAATATGAATTCTAGCATTGGAGACTTTTTTTTCTTGTTTTCACACAAACATTACACAAAATTCTAGCATCGAATATATACATATATATACATACATACATACATACATATTTCTGAGGTTTTCGCTGGTGTTTGTATGTGGGTCTTTGGTTATTCAGGCTTTCTCCCGCGTCAAATTGGAAGTGTCTTGGCGACGTTTCGATGAAGTCTCATTCGTCATCTTCAGGCTGGTGTTTTCGGCTTCATGCTTCTAGGAGCAATGTGTGATCACACATTGCTCCTAGAAGCACGAAGCCGAAAACACCAGCCTGAAGATGACGAATGAGACTTCGTCGAAACGTCACCAAGACACTTCCAATTTGACGCGGGAGAAAACCCGAATAACCAAAGATCTACATATACATATACACATATATACATACATACATACATACATACATATACATATATATACATATATATTCCCACAAAAATTGCCCCAAATTAACATGCTACAAGTAGTCCTTGACTTACAACCACAGTTGAGCCCAAAATTTTCATTGCTAAGCAAGAAATTTGTTAAAATGTTTTGCCCCACTCTACGATCTTTCTTGCATAGCTGTTAAGTGAATCACTGCAGTTGTTCAGTTAGTAACATGGTTGTTAAGTGATTCTGGCTTCTCCATTGACTTGGCTTGTCAGAAGGTTGCATGACCCTGGGACACTGCAAACCATCATAAATATGAACCAGTTGCCAAGCATATAGTAGTGGTAGTAGTAATAATAATAATAATAATAATAATAATAATAATAATAATAAAGTTGGAAGGGACTTTGGAGGTCATCTAGTCCAACCCCCTGCTCAGGCAGGAAACTCTACACCATTTCGGACAAATGGCTGTCCAGTCTCTTCTTAAAAACTTCCAGTGTTGGAGCATTTACTGCTTCTGGAGGCAGGCTGTTCCACTGATTAATTGTTCTCACTGTCAGGAAGTTTCTCCTTAGTTCTAGGTTGCTTCTCTCCTTGATTAGTTTCCACCCGTTGCTTCTTGTTCTGCCTTCAGGCGCCTTGGAAAATAGCTTGACTCCCTCTTCTTTGTGGCAGCCCCTGAGATATTGGAACACTGCTATCATGTCCCCCCTCGTCCTTCTCTTCGTTAAAGTAGACATACCCAATTCCAGCAGCCTTTCCTTATATGCTTCAGCCTCCAGTCCCCTAATCATGGTCTACATTTTGATCACGTGACCATGGAAATGCTTCTACATTCGCAAATGTGAAAATCAGTCATGTCACTTTTTTCAGTGTCGCTGTAACTTCAAACAGTCACTAATGAATTGTTGTAAGTCAAGGACTAACTGTTCAGTCAACTGTTTAGTCAACATTATAAACTCTACATCTCCTGCAGCATAATCTGAGTTTGAGAAATGTATTACACAATTCTTTGTTTGCAAAGTTCCATCAGTTAAGATTGCAATTCTTACATAATTATTGCAATTGGGAATAACTGGTTATGCTAGAACTTGTTTCTAAATAAACTACGTAAGAATGAATCCCAAAGTATCTTGATTGGTTGGCTTCAGTAGATTTATTATAAGGAGAACAGAAAGCAATTGTTGTGTTCCTTGTATTTAAAAGGTACTTACACTTAGTAATAATCAAGCATATTATAAATTATTGTACTACATCAAAAGAAAATGGCCCTGCATGCACTTTTAATTTACTAGTTCTAAATGATGAGAAATAAGCAATTAAGATACTTGGCCAAGTTAAAAATACAATTAGCAGGATTTTTAAATCTTTCAAACCCTTTTACTTCTGCCAAACCTTTAGCAGTTGCCTGAGACTGGAATTCTTTTTTCTCCAAGAACATATACACAAAGTTTTCTTTACCAGGACTTATTAAGATGAAAGAGCACTGGCATCAGAATTCTAGCAAGTTGAACTAATTCGAAATATACATTAATATGTACAATATGGCAGAGATTTTTTTGTTTTAGAATTTATTCATTCCCTTACTGTGTGCTGGAGGGAGTTCAGTTTTAACTGATAAGGGAGGAAGATGCTATCTTTTGGATATTTTCCCTAAGGTCTTCCTAATCTTGTAGAGGGAAATCTAAATATTAAAGTGATTCCCAAGCCAAGGTAACTTTTTGCAGCTGCTAGCTTTCTGCCTCGGCTTGCAAAACTTTTTATAGACCTTTTCATTTACTTTGTTCTAATATATGCATTTTTTCTAATACATTCAACTGTCCAAAGACAGTTTTAGACATTTATATACTTTTCTATAAGTCCATACAGGTTGTGAATTGGATACATATACTGACTTTTTTTTTTTCTACCATCCTCAAAAATGAAAAAGAATTGAATGGTTATAATGGTGTGGTTGTATATTTACCTGTTTCCAGACGTGATGAATACTGATACAAAAAATAGAGATTCACCATATACAGAAAGCCTGTCCCTGGGCCAACAGGGAAATAAAATGTGGCAGTTATTGGCCTCCAGATCTGTTCAGACAAAAACAGCAGATGTGTAAACTATTATTATTTGAGAACTTGTTTAAACAATATCAAAGTTATATGTATCAGGCAGTATCAGTGATTGGTAAGATATTGTACTACAAACTAACAAAATTAAATCTGTAATTATCTGATGGATTATTGAAGGGGGGAAGCTCCCAGCCCACCACACTCATAAGAATATTGAGCCCCCATCAGTGCCAGTCTGATAGATCACAAACACCAGGATTCAAAAGTGCTGAAGCCAATGTTCAATGCTTTGCTACAGGGATATGCAACCTTGGCAACTTCTAAGAATTATGGACTTCAACTCTCAGGATTCCCCAACTGAAGTTCCACAAGTCTTTAGGTTGCCACACTTGGACACCCCCACTTGACTGGGAAAGGATAAAAGAGCTTTGGCTTATAAACTCTCTTCTGTCTTCTGGTATAATTATAAGAACAATTTCAGAAGCTTTTTTTTTCTATTAATGGGTTTTTCTCCACCAGCAGAGGTCAACCCCGAGGCCCCTTGAATGTGGGGTGCCGCAGGGGTCGGTCCTCTCCCCCCTCCTATTTAACATTTACATGAAGCCGCTAGGTGAGATCATCAGACAGCACGGGGTGAGGTTTCATCAGTATGCTGATGATACCCAGCTATATATCTCTTCCCCGAGCTCTCTCAGTGAAGCGGCTGATGTGATGGGCCATTGCCTTGAAGCCGTGAGGGTCTGGATGGGGGTTAACAGACTCAGGCTCAATCCTGACAAGACCGAGTGGCTTTGGATGTTGCCTCCCAAGGATCATGTTAACTGTCCAGTGTTGACTCTAGCAGGGGAAAATATACCCCCTTCGGAGCGGGTTTGCAACTTGGGTGTCCTCCTTGACCCACAGCTGAAATTGGAACATCATTTGACGGCTGTGGCTGGGAGGACCTTTGCACAAGTTCGTCTGTTGCACCAGTTGCGACCCTAACTGGACCGGGAGGCTCTCCTTACAGTCACTCATGCCCTTGTCACCTCACGTCTGGACTACTGCAACGCGCTCTACATGGGGCTACCCTTGAAAAGTATTCGGAGACTACAGTTGGTCTAGAATGCAGCCGCGCGAGTGATAGTGGGTGCTCCTCAGTACACCCACGTTACACCTATCCTCCGTGAGCTGCACTGGTTGCCTATTGGTCTCCGGGTCCAATTCAAGGTGTTGGTTATTACCTTTAAAGCTCTATATGGCTCAGGGCCAGGTTACTTGCGAGACCGCCTACTACCTCATAGTTCCCTTCATCCGCTTAGAACCCACAGGATGGGCCTCCTTCAGGTCCCGTCAGCCAAGCAGTGCCATTTGGCGGGGCCGCAGGGGAGGGCTTTCTCTGTGATGGCGCCCACGTCTTGGAATAAGCTCCCCCCGGAGATTAGGACCGCTCCCACCCTGTTGGTTTTCCGCAAGCTGCTTAAGACCTGGCTTTTCCGGCATGCCTGGGGTTTATAAAATCTGACCCCTGGATGAATGTTATTGTATTGTTTGTTTTGTTATGTAATGCTGTGTTTTTATTGTTAACCGCCCGGTGTCCTGCAGGAGTAGGGCGGTCTATAAATTTTAATAAATAAAATAAATAAATAAAACAAACAACTAACTCATCCCTCAGGCAACACACAAAAATCGAGAAAGTGGAAGATGTTACTCTAGCCCAGGGGTAGGCAATCTTGGCTCTTTTATGACTCGTGGACTTCAATTCCCAGAATTCCTGAGCCAGCCATGCTGGCTCAGGAATTCTGGGAGTTGAAGTCCACGAGTCATAAAAGAGCCAAGGTTGCCTACCCCTGCTCTAGCCCTACAAGAAAATATCAAGCTTCAATAAAAGGGTCACAACCAGGGAGAAAAAAACTTAAGAATCTTTCAAAGTGATTTAATAAGATTTGGACATGCTGCCTGGCCATAAAATGATGGAAGACAGAAAGGAACTCTCTTGGAAGAGACAACAGGTAGTTGACAGCACAGAGAACGACCCAAACTTTCAACTTTTGGAGGTTACACTATTACAAGTGATTTGGGTGCCCTCGGTATTGGTTCTGGGGTGGTTGGCTGTGGATTTGGGGAAGAAAACAGATCTATTTACTGTACTATAAGACATAAACACAGAAGCACAGGCAACATCTGAGACTTCACTTAGAGTCTACAGATTTATGATAACTGGACGGTTGCTTTCTACATGCTATTTACTATGATTGCCATCAGCTGCCTGTCACATGTGAGCTTTAGCAACCTTCCACCTGTTATAGGGACTGTCTTGTCTGTCACATGTTAAGAATAGCCCAGCTAACCAAGCAAATGGCAGCCACTACATAAATAGCCGTCCTGCAAGAGGCAAGCCATGTTTTCATTTAGATTTGGAATATACCCTAACAGCATAACCCTTGGATGCACTGGAGGATAATTTTCCTTGCCCAAAGCCAATACGGACAATGGCTGCACCAGCAGAGGTTGAGCTACAGTCAAACATGTTTAGAAGGCATCCTGTCAAGTAACAGCATGTTATAAAGCAATTAGTTCCTATCTAGATAATTGCTACATCTCTCTATGGTAAAAGAATGACATATCTACCTCAAGTCTATGTGTTGGCATTCTCAGTACAAAAGCAAAGAACAGGGAGGGAAATATACCCGCGAGCTGAGTGTCTAAGATACTACATGTCTCTCAAAATAAAATGTCTTGCAAAGAAGCACATTTCTCCTCCAATCTTGAGAAATATAGTCTTGCATTTATCAATCTATCTTATCACTATATTCCCCTTTGCATTCCTCTGAGGTTGCACTAAAATGCAAAGGAATTGGCATACCAAAATGCTGAAATCTACATTCTACGCTCCAGTCCCTGCTTTTCTTAGCATATCAATCCAGGTGGCAATGGCAAAAGACTGATAGTTAGAAAGCTGATTTATCACATAACTTTAATTCCTGTCATATTTTCCATAACTTCATAAAATGGTTCATTCATAGGAAGCACTTTTATTATCCTGCAGAGATCATATATAGCTCAAGATTAAAGCAGTGGGCTGTTAATTATTTAGGCAGGTGATGAAATATCTGTAAATGAAAAGTCATGTTTAGAGAATTCTTACAAGCCAACATTTGTATTATTTTTTTTCCTAAGCCCAGTGTTCCATATCTAATTGCAAGGAATAATGAGGGGAAAGCAATTCCATATAGCTAAGCATATTAAACATCTTCCTAAAAAAAACCTCATTTTGTTCAGCTAACACAAATAGAATCAAATCTTCCACAATAGTGATTTAAATTACTCTGGCCTCCTCAAAAAAAAAAAGAGAGAGAGAGAGAGAGAGAGACTAACCAATCACTTCCAGCTTAAACTATTCCACATTTTGTCCACTATTTGGTGCCTATCAAAATGCCAGAAGCCCCCTTGAATCTTAATGATTGTTTATATTCTTGGCACTAAAAAATATAGCTCTGCAACAAGGTAAAAGGCAATAGTGAAGTCTGTTACCAAGATAAATCAAACAATTCAATGGATCTCTTATGCTATTTTTTATTCTATATTACTTCCAATTTCAGGTTGTTTGTGTTTTGTTAGCAATGGCTGGAAATTCAAGCACCTCCACTGTTTCCATGATTACTGAAAAAGGAAACACCTCCCACGCGTCCATTCTCAAAAAAGGCTTTATTTAATTTGTTCCATGAGTGACATGACACATACTTTTTCTCACTCATCTTGCCAAAGAGAAACGGGGATGATGAAAAAGAAGAAAACTGAACATCTCAAGAAGCTGGCTTCTGTAGCCAATGCAAAATAGTACCATAATTGTAGGAGCTTGTGTGTAGTAGTTTAATATTTGCCCAGCACTCCTTACAGAGTTTTCTCAGCCTTCTGCTATTCTATGTGCCTCTCCCTGCTGAGACCAAATATTTCCCACCAGGCAGTATGCAAATTTCCCCACTTTCAATTTCAGAGCTACCTTACAAAGCACTTCACTTTCGATCATTTTCAACTCTTGTGCAAAGATCACTCAGTGACATGATCGCACCATGTAATAAATCAGTTATGATTAAGTCTGTACACCATGTTCAGCCAAGAGCATGGAAGTAAACCCTGCTGTGGCTTGGAATGACCCCTAGTTTCACATGACTATTAACCTTCTGACCAGAGTGTCATTCATACAAAGTAAAGCACATGGGGGGTTGGTCAGTATTTGAATGGGAAGGTACAATGGAAACCCCACATTCATACATACATGCGTGCATCCATATATACATATATCGATTTCCGTTTCACAATAAATATATAAATAAATGAGAAACTGAATCTCACTGGTATACCCTAGTAAAGTTTAAGAGGCTATCTATTAATTTTCCATGTTGGCTGAAATTAGCTCTAACCAGAATATCAGGCTTGGACACATTAAGCAAAGATTTCTCTGGAGAAATCTCTGATCCTGGGAAAGGTACCAGGGAAGAAGAGGGTGACCAGCACCACGGTGGATGGGCTTAGTTATAGTGATGATGACTACACCATTAGAGGACCTGAGAAACCAGATTAGAGATAGATCATCATGGGAAAAAATCTATGTGGCCATTAGAAGTCGAAAATGACTTGATGGGCCTTAATCAGTCAATCATTTCCTGAAAGATACTTTAAGTCTATCAAACAAACAAATATCCCTTGCTTAGGTAATTCAATCTCTTTATTAAAAAAAAGTTGTTTTATATAAGGTCAAGTTATGGTGCCTCCCACCCAAATCAATAATGTCACTTCCACCATAGCTAATAAAAGTACACAAGGCTGGAGTACCATCCCCGTACTTTCAATAACTGACTACAACTCCCAACACACCCAGCGCAGCACTGCTTCAAGGGGCTATAGGAAAGAGCGCGCAGTGCATGCCGGGAGCTATAGTCCAAATAGCCTACCTGGAAGCGGTTGATGAAGGCATCAGGCCACAGGAAGAGATAAACGGGGCTTATCAGGCCTAGCTTGCCGACGAGGGGCACCACGATGGAAGCTGCAAACCAGTAGCGGGTAATAAGCGGGATGCTCCGGAACCAGTCCCCGAGGTCCGACATCTCCCCTTCGCCACTGTGCCGCTTGTGACTGGGAGGCCTGGAGGCCGGGCCTTGCGCTCCTCACTCCCGCGGGTGCTTCTTTCTCAGCCAAAGAGCGGAGCGTCGAGAGGGGCTGAGCTGGCCGGTGGGTGGGGCCCGCCTTCTTTCGACGTGGCCACACCGAATTCGGCCAAACAGCTACTTCCGGCTTCCGCCTTCCGTTTGCTAAGCAACGGAACAAAAATAAAGGTGGGGAAAGGAGCGTCGCCGGAAGTTTCACTCTTAAAGGAACCAGGCATTTTTCACTCTCGTTCCCTTTAAACAGATGCATCTATGTATTGCATAGCTGTATTATCATTCTTTTAATTTAGTTGGGTTTCTTAATTATTAAACATTGTTTTTGCTGAACATTATTGCTAAACAAGAGATGTATTTTAATTCAGTGTTTAAACTAATGGTCCCTTGGCGTTTTCACTGGATTGTACATATCTCGGTCTCTCTGAGCAAAAGAATGATGCATTATATCTCTAAGATAGTAGTTCTCCACCTTGGCAACTTTAAGATGTGTGGACTTCAACTCCCAGAATTCCCCAGCTAGCATCTTAAAGTTGCTATTGTAGAGAAGCAGTGATATAAGTTGTCATGCTATCTAAACAAGCTTCATTGAAATATTTGTATCTATTCAAATCATTAAAGGCTCACATGTCATGCTATTCTATAGGGGAAGCTGGTATCACTGAACAACCCAATAAACTCAAGGCTGAATTATCACATCTTGGAGCATACAGTTTTTTAATGGTTTTAAATGATGACTGTTTTTATATATTTTATATATTGGTTTTTCTTTTTAATTTTTGTATACAGCCCAGAGTTAGGCTCCTGTTACATGGGCAGCCATATAAATACAATAAATAAATATTGTTAAATAATTAAAATAATTAAATAATTCGTATGTTGTATCAATGACCACTTAAAAATAGACCAAAATAACTGTTCCCATAGAGAGAAAAGGAGAAAAGAAAACAAAAGCAAAAAAAAATCCCCCTTCTTGAATCAGTAAACAGAAGGCAGGATAGATTAAAAAAAAATAGTAAAGTTCTTCGAAATTTATATTTTATGCAGCCTTTTCAATGAGTAACCAAAAGACCAAAAATGACTAAAATTATTTCACATCAAGGCTGAAGTTTGCCATCACAGTTCCTAGCAATAGATCAAATGAAAGATCTCTCATATTAAAGTAAAACAAATGTCCATAATTACAGTCCATCAAGGGAGCATCAGACTTAACAACACTCAAACAGGCAATTAAGTTGTAGTCTTTGCATCCAAAATGAGAAGTAAAGTCAAAAAGAAAAAAAATGTAAAGTGAAAATTAGAAGGTAATAGCAGAAGTTGGTGCCTCTAAAATGCAGACAGTAGCCAAGAGTTGCGAACCACTGCATCTTTCATTCTGGTAAGTCTGCAAACCATCCGAAAAACTTTGTGGGGTGATTCCAGGATATTCATCCCTCAACAAAGCCAGCTTTCTATCAGCAGAGCAAAAAAAAAAAAAAAGGACACTGTTAATTTAAGGCATCGTTTTTAGAAAAGCCAGAGTATATTGATTACTATGCTAGGGTGTTGGCTTGGTGTACCATGCTATACAGGTAGTCCTTGACTTACAACAGTTCATTTAGTGACCATTCAAAGTTTCAACAGCACTGAAAAGTGACTTATGATCATTTTTCAACCTTATGACCGTTGCAGCACCCCAATGGCCATGTAACTTACATTCAGATTTTTGACAACTGACTCACATTTTTGACGGTTGCAGTGTTCTGGAGTCATGTGATCTCCTTTTGCTGACAAGCAAAGTCAATGGGAAACCAAATTCACTTAACAAACCTGTTACTAATTTAAGAACTGCAGTGATTAACCAATGTGGTGAGAAAAGTCACAAAATGGAGAAAACCCATTTAACAAATTTCTCCCTTAGCAATATAAGTTTTGGGCTCAATTGTCGTAAGTTGAGGACTAACAGTAAAAAGCACTCTTGGGGAACTCAGGAAAGCAGCTTGTGTGACCCTATCTTCTAGGCAGATTACTCAGAGTAAGGGCTTTGCCTCATCCCAAATCACAGTGTTTCTTAACATCAGTAAGTTTAAGACCTGCGGACTTCAGCTCCCAGAATTCTCCAACCATCATGCTGGCTGGGGAATTCTGGGCATTGGTCCACATGTCTTTAAGTTGTCAAGTTTGAAAAACACTACTCTATCTTTTGCTGCTCTGTATACAGTTATACAGTTATTTAGTAGACAAACTTTTCCTTCCTGTTGGCATCATTGCCCAAGGGCAAATCAGACAAATATTTTAAAATAATTACAAATGTTCTGAATACACATTGAATAGATGGAGGAACGATACAGTACACCTGTTCTGAGGACTTCAGCTGTTTATTTATTTTCAAGATATCCTGAAAGAGTCCCTTGACTTCAACAATTGCAAATTCAATAGGTAGATTGCTTCCTCCTCTCAGCTGCAACACTACTTTCTGGACTGAGCCGCTCTTGGACCAGCCAACGGCCAAGCAAACTACAATTCCCAACAGGCTTTGCTTGGAATGTTCCACACAGATAGGGGAAAGTCTCCTGTCTGTGCCTTCCTGAGTCCACGCCGATGGGAGGCGTTCCTTTCCTATCCCCCCTCCGATAGGCATTGGTATCTTCCTAAGTCAGAGCGGTCTGGCAGGAGAAGCGGCCGTTGGAGTGGGTTCGGTCCGGCGGCGGCGGCGGCGGCGGCGGCGATTCTGTTTTCTTTCCCGCCGGGATGCAGAGTTCGGATCTGGGCAACAGGGAACAGGGCAAAATCTGGCACCGCAGGCCCTCCCCGGCAACACAGCAGGGGTAACTTTCCGTAGCCGCAGCATCATTGGTTGTATTTTTAGCAGCTATTCAGCAATGGAGCTTCCATCTTCAGTGATAGTCTACCTGTTTCCAGCAAAAACGACGTTTTTCATCACCTTCTGCTCGGGCGTTAAATTAGCCCATGGCCCTCTAAAAGAGCTGTACTCCCAACTTCCATCAGCCCCGAACAAGGGAAGAAAGAGCACTTTTGGGAGGGCGGATGGGGTATGTGGAGCGCACAGGTGATACTATGAAGGGGTCAATGTCCCTTTGCTTTTACGCTGATAAAAATAGAATTTTGGAAAGATGTAGAATGCATGGATAAGACATGGTGCAACTGCCTTAAATATACTTACTGTACTAAGTAGAGTTTCTCATCTATAATTGATAAGAAGAAACCACTCCAGATTAAAAAGTCCCTATTTCTTTGCAAAAAATGGCTGACCTCATATAAGGGAGAGGTACGTAGGTGTGTGCATTCTCTCCCAGGAGAATCAGTTATTACATCCATAAAAAAATAACAGCTGTCATTTGAAGTGGATTTATTTGATAAGGATATGACCCACTGAAACTCTGTCATAGGGGTAAGCATCTGTTTTTCGGTTAGGGATTGTGTCCCCATAACATGGATGGTGGGCTCATTTCATCCTAGTCAGGGAATTAAGCAGTGTGTAAGACAACTGCCAAAAAATATGCAAGGCCACCCATTCTCTCCCTCTAGATATTTTTCTCCCTGTTCTGACATAATCTGGTTAAATGATTCTCCATATATTAACTTCATTTTGCTTTCTTTCCAGAATCATTGTAAATATTATTCATACTACCACAGGATATCATTCCAAGACAATACGTTTTTTGAATGTGGCTTTCGACTGTTCAGGCGAGTTTCTACTCGCTGGAGATCATCAAGGGAATATTTATAGTTTTGATTTGGTGGGCAACAGGTTGGTATGTCATATCTCTCTTTCATCGTTCAGCTTATGCTTGCTTAAAATATATGAATTGCTTAGATAGCAGTACAAGTATGCTAGCGTCATGTGGGCTTTTCCCAAGATGCTCTCCATATACATAATGAATAAAATAATTATTAATACTGAAATAATTATTGCATTATTAATAAAATAATATTTTGTTGAGGATTGATTATGGCCTACATTTATTTTACTTCTCCCATTTCAAGGCCATCAGACTCTTTAACAACTTATAGATAAAAAGAGAGATCTATAGAAATACATCTGTAGAGATAGATATAAACACAAGAGACAGATACATACAGTACATATGCACACACATACAGAGAGACATATACATAAATACAAGATGATCTGCCATGTTTTAGAATAAATTGAGTCCTCTGGTTAAATGATTCTCTTTTAGCATTAGCATGGTTATCTGTTAGCCAGTGTGTAAGGAGTCTATGAAACATTCATAGATTGCTTGATCTGACAGCTGCTGTAACTGATGTCTTATGCTCTGCCGGAATAAATTTGTTTTGTCCCAATAGGTTTAACCTGGTTCAACGAACAGGACAAGCTTGCACTGCTCTGGCATTTACTCTTCGTAGGAAAACAGAATTCCTTGTGGCTTTGGCAGATTATTCCATCAAATGCTTCGATACAGGTAATTTAAAAATTTCCAATCCATAGCAGACAGCTTGTCAAAGGTGCTGGGACAACAGCTCCCATAATTCCTGATGGACTTCATAATTCCATAATGAACCAACTCCCAGAGTTCCTCAGCCAGAATTCTGGGAGTTGAAATCCACACATCTTATGCCAAGTTTGAAAAACACTGCTGTCATGTAATATAATGGTGTGCAGACTATTTCAAGTTTGAAACAGTTATTTTGACCGTATGGAACTCATTCATCTCAATCGGTACAAAACTTACTGGTAGAAATTATCTGCCTAAGTCTGTGCAAAACCACTTAGGCTTGTGAGGAACAGCTAGACTGAGATCCAAAGAAGGAATAGTTCTAGTTCCAACTGTTCTATTCCAGGCTTAGAATGCTGAACTTCTGCAATGGTCCAATCACCACTGGGCCATTTCTAGAGAGGTTGGCACAACTCCTCTGAAGTCATGTTTCTTTCAAATTGAAATCTTAAAAGTCTCCTGGTTCTTTCTGTGTTGTTTCTGACCTTTCCCCCCCTCTTTCTTACTTCCACAGCAACCAAAGAGCTTGTTAGCTGGATGAGAGGACACGACTCTTCAGTGTCTTCAATCTCAGTTCATGGCTCTGGCAGATATGCCATCACGTGTTCTACAGATACAGCCCAGCTTTGGGA